GACCGCGCCCTGGCCTCGCCCTGCACTCCCGCGCCCGGCCAGGCGGGACCCGCGAGAGGGGGGTGGCTGACAGCTGGTGGGGGGAGTTTGGAAAGTTTGTGCTGAGCGCTGATTGGGCGGAGCCCTGGGCCGGCGCTGGGGCCCGGCTTGCCCCACCCCACTCCGGAGGAGGAGGGTCACTCCCACTCAGCCTTAGAATTCAGGGTTCCCGGCTTCCCCCAAACCCTTTCCTCCTAGCAGGCCCCCTCAAAGGAGCTCGTAGCCTCCTTCAAACTTCAGCCTCCATCCAGGCCCTGGAATTAGGAGGTACAGCTTTCTACCAAGTTCTTTCTGTGCCTCTGAGGCTCCCTAATGGGATCTCAGCCTCCTGCCAACCTCTTACCCACCTGCCTTACCCCAATCGCTTAGCCCCACGGAAGAGGTACTGCCTCACCCCCACACCTTCCCTTCAGGTTCCTAAACAAGGGGTCCTCTTCCCACCTTAAACCTCACCCCAGATTCTACAATGAGGCTCCCAGACTTGCCCCAAACCTTCATCTGTCCTCCCACATTCCAGAATTGGATGTCCCGGCCCCTCCCCACCTCCCCACAGATTCCCAAGCACCGGCCTTGCTTTCCCCCAAACTCTTAACCTTCAATAAAGGATCCCACCTCCATCCCCAGCCCTCCTCTGCCCAGCTCAGGTCCCCAAAAGGATGCTCTACCCCCAACCCCAAATCTGCACACATACCCCCATTACATGTGGGTGTCTAACTACACCCCAAAACAGAGCACTGCCACAGGGAGGAGCGGTTCCCTGCCATTCTGGGGTGAGGCACAGCCCCCCCCCCCTACTGGGACCCTCCAGTGTGAAGAGGCCCCAGGGCGTCAGGTGGAGCTGTCTGTGCCATTGAACAGGAGCAGGTGTGTGGGGTCTGAGAGCTTCTGCAGGGAGGAGCCCAAGGGGCGGGTGTGGCCTGGGCCCTGAGCTCCCCCTTCACCACCCAGAGAGAGAAGCCAGCAGTGCCTCCCTCCCAGCCTCTGGCTCCTCAGACAAAGAGTCCCTGTGTCCCTGGAGAGGAGGGGGTGGGGGCCCATGTGGCCTGAGGGGCAGATGGGGGCTCCCAGGGTAGGGGCAGCAAAGGGAATCTCCCCAAGCTGCTCCTCCTCCCGCCCTGGGGACATCTGAGGCTGAGCCTCATTAGGTTTCTGCGCTGCCTTGCCCTGCCTTGCGGGGAGGTTTCTGCTGTATCTGCTATATCTTCTGACATTCCTGTGCGCATCGGAGAGGACCCCACTGAGACCACCCTCTCTGCCACCTCCTCTCCCTCTCTCCCTCCAATCAGAGACTCTTTGCCCAGAATAGAGACCGCAAGAGGATACTCCTGCTAATTCCCCCGGCTTCCTGAAACTCCCTCCACCCCGAATAATGTACAATCATAATAAAAAGCCCCCAGGTATGAGTGCAGCAGTGAGGAGAAGAAATTTTTACAGATAACGGAAAGGGGGCCTGGCCTGGGTCAGCTCAGAAGGGTCGTGGGGACCCTTCACCCTGTGGGCGGTCTGTCCTGAGGCTGATGAGGGAGATGGGAGGCAGGAGGCAGGTGCTGCCAGCAGAGGTCATACGTCCAGGGAGGGATCAACATGGCCGACCTTCCCCGGACTGTACTGATCTCAGGCTGCTCATCCGGAATCGGCCTGGAGCTCGCAGTGCAGCTGGCTCATGACTCCAGGCAGCGCTACCAGGGTAACGGGCCCAGGGCAGGGCGGAGAGGGCAGGGGTGGGCATGGCCTCCAGGACCCTCAGCCCCCTTGGCACTATTTCCACCAGCCCTTCCCTTCAGGCCGCATTTGTGGGCTGGGGGAGGACCCAGGACCCGTGGAGGCTCCCTTCGCACCTCTCCTTGGGAGTCAATCCTCATCTAATGAACATTTCTTGAGCACCTACTGGACGCCAGGCACTGTTCTAGGGGCTGGAAACACAGCTGTGAACGAAACAGACCCTGATTCGTGGTGTAGTGGGGGAGGCGAGGGAGGACAGACAATAAGCAAGTTTTAAATTTTTATATGTCTAGTGCTAATGAGTGCTAAGAAGCAAAATTAAGCCCTAACGGTTTGGCTCAGTGGATAGAGCGTCGGCCTGCGGGCTGAGGGGGCCCGGGGTCGATTCTAGTCAAGGGCATGTACCTGGGTTGAGGGCACATCCCCAGTGGGGGGATGTGCAGGAGGCAGCTGATCAATGTTTCTCTCTCATCGATGTTTCTAACTGTCTATCCCTCTACCTTCCTCTCTGTAAGAAATCAATAAAAATATTTTAAAAAAGCAAAATTAAGCAAAGGGTGGGTGGTAGTTTTAAGAGGGCTGACGGGGGGGTTCGCTCAGGCGGTCCCTAGGGCTCCCCTTCCCCAACCCTCCCCAGATTACTGCTCCAAGGTAAGCTTCTTAAGTGAATCTGACCTTGAGGGCTCAAGGGGTCCTAGAGGACTTGGCCTCCTGCAATTCTGGAGTCAACTGCCCCAGTCTGCACCCCACCCGTGGAGACCTCTGGCCCAGAGCAGGCCAGAGTCAAAGTGGACAGAGGGCTGTTACTTAAGAGAAGGCTGCAGGGGGTGAGGGCATTGTCCCAGTTGGCAGCACTGCTTCTCCCAGCCCTCTCTCCATCCTCCGTCTTAGACACAAGCACAGCTCGGAGCGCGGCCGTCTGAGTGCCAGTGCGCAGGACAGCCGCTGGGCCGCGTGTGTCCCCGGCAGGCGGAGTGTATGAAGCTGCTGAAGGATACGTTTATTGAGTGCTGACAATGTGCCAGGCTAAGGGCTTTGCATCTAGTTAGATATTTAATCCGAACAGCACCCCTATGAGGTGTTCACTGTCATTTGACCCATCTTAGAAATAAGGAAAGCCCTGGCCAGGTAGCTCAGCTGGTTAGAGGCATCGTCTGGATACGCCAAGTTTTGGGGTTCAATCCCTGGTCAAGTCACATACAAGAGTCAACCAATGCATGCATGGATTCTTAGAGCAATGGATCTATCTCTCTCCCTAAAATCAATTTTTTAAAAGAAAATAAATGAGAGCTAACTGGTTTGGCTCAGTGGCTAGAGCGTCGGCCTGCAGACTGAAAGGTTGCAGGTTCGATTCCGGTCAAGGACATGTACCTTGGTTGCGGGCACATTCC